TACTACCACTTACTCGACTCCATACATTCCATGGTTATAAAACAAACTTATAACCGAGTTCAGCTGATACTTATCAGACATCTTTCCGTTACCAATCGCTACACCAGCCAAGTTCAAGCCAGGCGCTTTACCCGCCTAAAATTTTAATGATCACAAGTACGTGTGATAAGTCGATGTTTACTATGTTCAATCGAATTCATCAGTTTTGAAAATAAGATGAAAAAATTAATGAACAAAAGTTAACCTGTATCATCTGAATAATGAGCGACACCAATGTTGGAATATAAACGCCAGCGTACGATTCACCACTCACATAGAATGGTCGATTGTAAAATTCGGGAAATACGCTGAGGAAGTCCATTATGGCCAGGAAATTATCGGTAGCGGTCTAAACAAAGTTCAAAATTCTGTTATTTAGAGTCAGAAATTTCACAATACACTTCTACGTCAAACAGAACATCAGTTAGAGAAATTCATCAACTCAGCATATACTTATTCGTTTGTTTGTATTGAAACTCAGTGGTATCCTGGTTGTTAATTTCCTTCTACTAACAAAAATTATTTGACGATTAAGTAGAAAGTGGTTCGTTCCCGTGAACGTCTTCATAGAATATTCAATATTTGTTGAGGCTGTATTTTTTGGACTTGTCTGCAAATGGATACAGTCAGTGCAATTGAAGTAATGGTGACATTGACCTTTTCGTCGTTAAACATTGTATCGTTGTTTTCTTTTGTATCCTGGTATGAATATCCAACTTGACGAGGAGATTCCAAGAAAAGAACGTTAGCCACCTGAAACAATGGAGCACATTTGATCACTAGGGCACTTGTGATACCTAACGCAAAACAAGTTGTGCTTTTGCAACATTCTTGAATCAATTTTCGTTTGGGAAGAGGATGTTTGATAGCATTTGATATAAGTGATGTCAGCATCTAATAGCATCTCTGCTTACTGCAAACTAATGTTTCTTTGTTTCAGATTATAAAACTATGAAAAATGGTCACATCGGAAATTGATTCGCGAACACTGTGAAACACTGCAATGAATCGATAAGTTTTTATTGTGACGTTCATTTACCCATGATATAACATAAACTTCCACCATATATAAGCATGAACATACTCGATTCCATGAATAAATGTTCTCCATTAGCGTTCTTCCATCCGGGTTCAACCAGAACGGACCTAATTCAGTCAATAAGCCCGTCAATGAGCTACACCCAGGTCCTCCGTTCAACCACAGAAGCAGCGGATCATTTGCTGGATCGTTTTGCGATTGCGTGAACCTGAAAGCAAAATTCGAACACAGACAACCATCGAACGACAATAAAATCAAACTGTTTGTTCATTGAGAATTCACGCATTTGAATTGTGATCATTGAAATCATACCAATAATGAAGATAGTTGCCTTTCGACGGGTTCAAATATCCGGAATAATGCTCAAAATTAAGATCGTAAGTTATTCCGGGTAGGTTCCATACGCGATCTCTCTCTTTTCTCGTTGCTAAATGTTGTATTTTAGATTTAAATTTAAGGTCGATAGATAGTTATTTGATTCGAACGACAATTTAGAAAATACTCTAAAAGAAATGCAGCTGTTATACTGCGATATTAATTGGTGGATGGCATCCTTGCATCATCACACCGCAATGCAATTAATACTCACGTTGGGGTTTCGGGTTTTGCTGATATTGTGGAAGGAGTGGTTTGAGGACGGTATTTACGGTTGTTGGACTACTGTAGTTCTTGTTCGCGATGTAATTTTCAAGCATTTGCAACGCGGGACCGGGACGATCAAGTTGCACGAAATGCCCTGAGCCCTAAATTGCATTCATTAAGTTCACTTGTCATTCTATCGAGTGTATATTTTTCTTTGAGGAATTCCATAAATGTCACGTTACTATCAGAGTACCTGTCGCGACTGTGCGTCGCGAGAGAGAGAATTAGCAAAAATAAGGAATTGAATAAGATGAGTCATGAGATTTGAAGAATAGATAAAAACGATCCAGCTAAATCGTATGAATAGGTCATACAGTGTTAAAATACGTATGATAAACAGAGATTGTAATCTTATCTAGCAATGAATAAAGAAGAAGCTTCATACGCGTAAATTAAAATATAAGCTAATATAAATAAACATGTTTATGACGTACAAATGTAAGCTGTGAAGAGTCATACAAATACCCAAAAGAAACAGATGGGTAATTACGTAAAAAATACATACAAAATGGGTTGGCCTTAAATTTAATTTTAGCAAAAATATAAGACTCTTAAAATCAACAAATAGAATATACTAATTATTTCTTTACGATATGAGTGGTCGTTCGACGACTCATATCGTAAAGAAATAGTTGGTATATTCTATTTGTTGATTTTCGTTGCTATTTGAATATAATATTAACGCTAAAATTATAAATATCATTACGCCTTTCACATGTGTCTGAATGAAAGATCCGAATGAGTGAGTCGAGGAGTTCTGATGAGGGCTGTACACCTCCACTTAATTCTTCGCTTTTGTAAATGATTATTTTTGTATGGAATGTGGTTTTATATATCAGTTGCTGTTTGTGGGAGAAAGAATCGGTCTGATTAAAGCTAACTTCTGTTTTGCATTTGCATTGTCAATACAAATATGGTCAATAAATCAGTGAAGAAGATTGAAATGAATGAATGAGGAATCGGTGCAGTAGTGGATGTCGAATTGAAAGGATATTTCGGTTCAAAATACCTTCACAGAAAGGAAGTCGAATATCACTTTCCCATTTTTGGTTGTGTATCTTTGATGGTAGCCAGCTATTGACGGTTTATATTTCGGCTTCTCAGCAAACGTCCATTCTTGCCGAGTTTGTTTATCCAGATTGAATTTTGTTGCTAATCGTGAAGCGAATCGCTCGGCACCAAGAAAGTTGCAAACCGCATCAGTGTCACCATTGTACACAAGGATATGCAGATCCAGACCTTCAACAAATTCATTTTCGTTTGTTCGTTTGCAGTTTCGTTAGCTAACTGAACGCGTGAGTAGTTCAAAACATACGAATTAGACCATTTACGGAAGTTCATTCACCTGAATTGATCATCTGCTCGAAGAATGGTGTTGTGTCGTTGTATTGACGTTTGTATAATTCATTCACATGGAAACTGAATGAATTTTCATGATTAGTTTGTTCGTAAACTATGACTCGTTATTTACTCCAAATTTGTGTTAATGAACAGAATTTTTAAGTTGAAAATTCAAATTTTTATACATACACCTCTTCTTAGCGCAGTAATTCTAACTTGTTCTGATACCTTTTAAGCGAATGTTTTATTCATGAACGAGATAAGAAATGCATAAATAAAATGTAGGCAACCAACAGTATATTAAGAAGCACTGAAATGTTCGCAAAATTAGCATGTAAAAACGCTTGTTGGTGCATTGAAAAGTGACGCACGATAACTATATAACACGGCATTGGCACTGAGCAGCGATAATAATAGATAGAGCGATAATGAAGAATGGTGCTGACACTATCAACAGTTAGAGTGACAGCATTAATGACGGTAATATTTCAATGGAAAAAAAAACAAACTTGCAATCAGTCCAGTGTGGAAGATTTTTGGGAATATGAGTTGCATATCGAACTTCAGGTAAATTTATATAGGTTTCTTTGGCATCATCCATCCAACATGGATAGCCACTCAATGCATCCGTTGAACCCATATTCAGTTTTGACTTAAAAACAGATTGATTACATTTGAGTGATTGAATTGGAATGGACGTTACCTATCGTGAGAATTATTGGGTCTAACCAAGCATTGTTTCTTCATAATTCTAACGGTCAGTTAATTCGATTTACGTGCAACGTTAACATTCTGCTTCAACTTCTATTTTTTGCATTGCACGTTTTACTGCGCAAGAGGTGATCGAAAGGCTAGGGGACTATTGTTGTTTTCGCTGTTTAAGTGAGATGTTTCATCACATTTCATCCACCCCTCTTCAAATTCACTTACTTAGCCATTCAAACGAACGATTCAAATCACAGAAATATCACTTATTTTGCCTTTACTACTGATTCACCTCATCAAACACTTTCGCATAAAACAAATAAATTCATGAATAGGAATTAAATCCATTGAAATTCGCATGAAGGAGCGAATATTGTTATATGCGCGTAATTTAAAGTAGCTCTCAAAAATACTCAACTCCTTGTTTAAGTTGCTACTAGAAAAACTTTAAAATGACATATAAGTAGAAAAAAGTCAATCATGGTCAAGAACGAAAACGTACTCCTTGATCAATGAAAGATTCTTGACCATCGAATGCGCTCAATTTCATTAAACTCATTCGTCTTTTAAGGTCTGATTGCCGTACAACTTTCAAGCTCGGCCGAGCATGAGTGTCCATGTAGCAGTCTTCGTACGTATTGTAAATGATTTCGCTAAAATCCGACAACTTATGAGGAAACGGATATATCTCATAGCGATTGAGTGAAGCCGCATTACATTCATCCGCGCAATGGACAGGTGTTATTTTGCGGTCAAAAGGTGAATAAGAATTATTCGATGGGGAATTATCGCTACCAAGTGAAAAGTTGACATTGTGAGCACCAACTGCAACGTTCATCTATTCAGGATTTAAATTTAGATTTAAGTTCATCAGTCAAATGACGAACAATATTCTATAGATTTAGTAGGATTGAGAGGAGTATTGAGAGAACAGTGCGTAGGACAGAAAGAAAATTTTGATAATGAGCGGTGAAACCCAGTGTGAATTTTCGGTGAACTTGCAATGAAATTATTGATAAGAGCACAAAGTTGCGAACGTTGTATTCATTTCCATGCGGTAATAATCTCGCACGAGATTAGCACATTGACGCTTGATTGGGTCTTTGAATGGCCTCGGAACGATCGAACCATTGTTTCGGACTTCAATATATTGCGAAAAATCACAGGTACCAAGCGCTTGAATCTTGGTACTATTCACTTTGCAGCATTTTTGCAATGCGTCGTAATCTCTGAACAATCACTTTTCATTATAAGAACATTCAACAACTTTTCAATGAACCATAAAAGCAACGGGCAGTAGCCAGCCAGACCGTAGGACGCCCAGTCAAAAAA